GTCAGCAACAGTCCTATTCAGGACTACGTTACCCGGACGATCATACTCAACCTACTTATGAAACTTATGGGTTCAAACCTTTCGCAAAGAGAGGGGAGTAAATTTCATAACAGAAAGGAAGACTCTTTGCGTTTTTAGGTTTTGGTAACACGGTGCAAACAACTGCACAGTAATTTTCAAGAAGTTATGGTAACTCCTCTAGTGGGGTTAATTTAACTCCTTTAGTGGAGAGAATCAAGAAGCGCGGGAGTAACGGAAATGTTTCTTCGATGGTGTTTCCGTCGCCTAGTATCAAGGTCTTTCCTTGTAAGTCTTTTTCGGTTGCCGCAATGGAGAAAGTTTCCAGATATTTGCCATTAATAATGATCACCCCTATTCTACGGTTCATCTTGATTTTAAAAAAATGTCTGTTTTAGGTTTTCGTGGTAGTCTAGTCGTGGAATTAGCTCATAAAGGGCAATGCAGAACGTTTTCCTGTTGTAAGCTTCTTTCTCCAACGCCAAAATTCCATTCTGTCCATAAGAGTCATCCAAAGCGACAGCCGCCACGTATGTCCAGTTAAAGAGCTCTGTTATGTCTGCCATAGCCTTTACTAGCCACTTAGCAGAAGGGGCTGGCCTGAAAAAGTCATTGTAAAATTGGGAACTCAATTCTATGCTTGTTGCAGTTGAACTAATGGCAGGAATCCCAGCGACCTTTAGTAAGCTTGCTACCAATGACGCACAGCTAGAGTCTAGAGGGGCCTATTAGCGGTGAAATGGGCTTGGACCCGACCGACCTTGGAGAATTGCTCTTGACAGACGTAAAAGTGTCCGCAGAAAACCATTTTCCTTGTCTAAGTTGTCATCTTTATTCTTGCCGCCTGAAACAAATTACGTTGTGAGGTAGCCACCTAGTAATACGTCAGCAACAATCTCTTAATTTCATCGAGAGAACTGATAATCTAACCGGTTTTTATGTTTGTATATATACTTGCTTAATGTTGCTGGTTGACTCTCTAACTCAAGACTAAGCACCAATCATTCCCACGACCTGCTGGACACGAATAGTTTGAGTCGTTTAAGAAAGCTCGTCGTGAAACACTAAATTTTACATATGACAATCTTTTTTGAAGTGAGTATCATTCCAAAGTCATTTATTAGTCATGATTAAGAAAAAATTGTGAAAAGGAGGCAGCAGGCTGGTAGTATTTGATAAAGAGGACTCACTTTCCATCTGGAATAGTTTCTCGAGCACAAACAGCAAACCATTACTTTAAGAGGGATCAATCGCTATCCAATTTTTGTGCTAAAATGTAAACTCACTGTAAATGGTGTTTTTTTCTAAAGCAGCAAAACCTATCATTTAAATTGGGCACTATACAAAAGCGTACTCTCAGTCTTGTGCATCGCGCTGTATCATGTCAAGCTACAAAAGAATCACTGGTTTTGACTGGTTTTGGTGTCAATGCTGTAGCACACTAAGGATGTTTCCAAAGGCATCGCATGCACTCACATATCTTACCTTGACGTTTCTCTTGGAGCGACTATCTCTGTTTTTAAACTGGCAGTAATTTCTCGAAGAGCTTCTTAAAGTGAATTTAGACTGGATTGCTTATCTTAAGATGACTGCCAGCAGAGATATAAAAGGAACCCGTCCTTTTTCCATGGACAATTTTTTTAGTTCTAAATTGTACAGTGACATATGACTTCTAGATCGAAATTAAGTCGTAATTGTTGAGTTACAAAAAATGCTTTTTGAAATGGGGTAAGTAAGCACCTTAAACATATGAGCCGTAGTAAAATGTTTTGTAACGTTCAATTAGGCAATTAAATACAAATTCGCTTTTCAATGTCTTATCCCACATGAATTTTCTTAGTTATGCAAAATTTGCTATCTACACCTGCTTTTTTTTTTTTGCCTTAATTGGAAATTCCTGTTAGCTTAGTTGTGGGCACGAACGCCTGAGGAAAAGAAACAGACGGAGATAACTAATTTTGCCTTCCACTCCCCATTTAATGAGTGTCTCTTTATTCCTGATGAAAGATGTTCGGCGGAAGTGTCCTGGAGACGTTTTCCCGCTATTTTAAACTAAGTCTACGCTTGTGGCAGATGAGTTGATGGTAGGAATATCAACGAATTGAATATACCAACGAATTGAAGAAAGCTTCCAACCAGCACGTGCACTGGCGGATTGTTTCAGGACCAATAAGCTCTGAGAATGAATGAATGAATGAACAACTTTATTAACGTGTCAAAATCTTCAAGCTGGCCACAAGTAGACTACTAATCGGGGACACCTAGTAAATAAAATCTATTTAATAAGCTTAAGATTACATTTGATAATATTTACAATAAACATTGACTGTAAGATTACATTAATAACGTTTAAATATTACAGATAAAAATGAATAAATAAATAAGTAATAATAATAACAATAAAATAGTCCACAATCTAATTAATCTAAAAGTAAATTAACAAGTTCGGTCTCAAATATTACACAAGTTACAATTTAAACATCTGTTCTCAGCTAGGAAAGGTCTTTTTTCCGAATACTCGTTTTGAAAGCCGATAATGTGGTTAGGTCTCTGTCCTTTTTTGACAATTTGGACCATAAAAATGGTCGAAGGTATCTAATAGAGTGTCTGCCATATTTCGCGGTATGGAACCTAGGAATAAAGAAGTCTGAATTTGGTAGGGTTAATTGGCTTGCATCTGTTTGCATGGTACCGTCTGTTACAAAATTATCTTGCATGAAGTCGTAGGCTATTATCACGGCCACGTTCGTGCTTAAACAGTAGTTTCGTATGTCATAGCCGAGTGTCACGTTTGAAAGAAAAACGGGATTCTTGTTTATGCTTTCAATAGCCAATATTATAGCTTCTACATGCCCAGTCCTGTTGTGAAAAGATTACCGCAGCGATCATCACTCTCAACTAGGGAAGAGTATGCTGAGCAGACCACTGTTAGATGCTAGAAATAGTATCCAAGTCTGTTCATTGAGTTTTTGAGCAGTTGCTTTTGCAAAAATCGCACTTCCGTAAATGCCAGAAAGCCAAACGATGCTCACTGCGATTTCAGACTTTCTTTCAGGACAGTTTGACTGATTTTATCTTTGTAGTCTAGCTGCGGGATATACTCAGAAAAGGTAAGGCGAAAGGTGTCTGTTTTTTTTCTATTCATAAGAATCATCCAAACGCACCGCCGCCACGTATCTCCAGTTGAAGAATTCTATGATGTTTGCCACTGCCCCAACTTGGCAGATGTCTCGTGGAACTGTTCTGGAGAGGTGTTCTTGGACGTTTGAACTAAGCTGTATGCCCTTTGCAGTGGGGCTTATGGCGGGAATATAAAAAATTTGACGAAGGGCCACCTACTAGTACCGCACCTCCAGTATTGAAAGGTGCAAGAAGTGCTGAGATTACCTTGTTTTGTTTTTCGTGACACAACTGTTCGAAAAAAGCTGGCGTTTTGATTAGACCTGGATAATTAACACGCATTAGTTCATAGGCTATTTGCAAGACCAATGCACCGTTCTAACAGTAGTCTCTTAACTCGTAACCGATTGGCACGTTCGGAACAAGAGTGAAATTCGTGTTCATTCTCTCTATGGCATAGATCATAGCCTTTTCATTGCCAAGATCTGTTGTAGAAATCCTGTTACATTGATTAGCAGTTTCAGAATAGTGGGTTTTAAGGAGTCCATCAATTATTATTTTGCCATCTTTATAAATTTTTTCGCATATTTGGAAGTTGTTTGTTCATAGCCAAAAAGGAGTGGCGGTCTTAAGATGCACGAAGGCACTACGCTTTGAATGATCGTCACCGTCCTTGTGTGGTTTGTACAGAAACAAATTATGCACTGTACATTTATACATTTTTGAGGAAAACATTATATTGTATCCACAAATCTGTATGATTCCTACCTACCTTCAGTCAATCATGTATTAAGGAAACTTGTATTTAAAAGCGTTCACCCTTAACACGCTAACTGACCATAGTGTCAGAAACCATTCCCCAAATTTGCCACTTCTGCATTTTCATGGTACACTCCGTATACCTCTGTTCCCTACAAGTGGGGCTACCTGTCAATACCCCGGCTCGGCCTCGTTCAGTTGTTAATGTTCGTTTTTCTGTCTATAAGTTCACTCAGGTTAGCAAACATAAAAACAGGTCCTGAAGGAAATTGTTTAAATTCTTTTTTTCCCTTGTTTATTCGCTAAAAGAATAGCTGGTTGACAAACTGGAGGATTGTAGCTTGTCAAAGTTCACCTGTACAGTCCTTCTTGCTGTTTCACTCCAGAACAACGTTGGGCACTCCCTCATTGATCGGAGCAGGGAAAACTCTTGTTGCCGTTACGTTATTAAATGAGAAATTCATCACCTGCGACCTGACGCTTTGCATGGAGTTTTGCTGGGGACGGAAGAGAAGAATGAAGAGTTTTGGTCCGAACATGCAGCCCAACAAGCCAAACGAAGTTATTAACGCCGTAGTACATGATACGAGTGTTACGTACCAGCTGTCAAAAGCAAACGGCCCACAGGGTAATATGCTATTGATGACAAAAGTAGAACGTACATAGAGAATCCTATGTATTTTGTTTCGTTAAAGTTCTCGGGAATTCCTCTTGCTTTGAAAGCGTAATATGTACACAAGAGAGCCACAATTAAGGTGTAACTACAGACTGTGATGAACAGTGCAAGGCCAATGTTTGTGTCGAAAGGTTTGCACACAAGAAAGATGTAATCATCTGAGCGGATGATCTTTTTACGCCTTGGAGGATCCAGAACGATCCACAGGGCCAACAGAGAGAGGGCAGTTAGATTCATAACAAAAAGGAAGACGATTTGCGTTTTTAGGTTTTTGTAGCACGGTGCAAATAACTGCGCAACTTTATCAACCTCAAAAGCGCTTGCGATTCGCATGGTTTTCAAAAAGAGCACCGTAATACAAATATTGAGAGCAAAATAACGCCAGAATGTCGCTGCACTGCAAAGTGATTTGCTGGGCTCTGCAAGTTCAAGGACGGCTAAAATAAAAACTGCTGAAATGCCAAACAGCAAGATAAGAGATTTCCCTGCTGGAAGCCTTCACGATTGGGGTATTGTAAAAATTGACCCAAGTGCCGCAGACTAACAATGTGAGGATAATTCCAACGGAAGCCACCAATGTAATAGTTATTCCAGTGGCGGTTGTGAAGGTGATATTGACAATAGTTAACTTCTCACACCAAGTGTGCCCTTCATTTGACTTTGTCTCTGGCTCACACTTTGTACAGGTGGTGGATCCAATGTAGGTGCTGATAGTTCCAGGAAGACACTTTTTACATTCCCAACAGCATGGCTCGGTGATTTCTTTTCTGGTGCCAGGCAAGCACTCTGAGGAACAGAACGAAAACTGAGTCGAGAGGCTTTTCCATTGTAATCCCGAGACATTTAAATTGAGTCTAGGCGTACCTTCTCTATCCCAGACTCCAATCCGAATCTTTTTACGAGCTCCTTCTGTGGCTGATCTACTTCGAAAGTTAATAATGTCGTATGAAGCAGATAAAGGATCACCAAACATGTCAAACTGAACTTTGCCAGTTAAGCCATCAAAACTAACATTTTTGAGATACTTCTGTAGATCACGTCCCTTCACTTTCGGCTGTTTCGAGGAAGAAATATCTCTATTCGTAACTAAATAGTGGTTAATGTTATCCAGAGCGTGCGCAATAGCGTAAACAGCGTCAATGTCATACGACACGAAAGAGTTCCGGATCTTTTTTAGGGCATTGTGTAGCGTCAGATTTGATTCGCAAGTTGGAATTCGTCCCAGATCAATTGCTGAGCAGTTAAATTCTAATCTCCAGAATTCCTCCCACCACTCCCTGCCTCTTTCAAGGCTTTTTGCAGGGGTGATAATCTTAAGATGCTCTTCAAAGTCGGGTACTGGATAGTCATGTGGCTGTATTCCTAAGGAGCCATTAAGCATTGCGAAGTTAGGGTCAAGTAGCACAGCTTCTTCAGAGGTCAATGCGTCGCTGAGTATCCAAGTCTTTTCTACAAGGTTTTTACTCGTTGCCTCTCGAAAAAACTCTCTACCATAATCGCTTGCTAGCCAGACGACGATCACTCCGATATTAGACCTGAGCTTAATCTTAGCAACCGTTTGCTTGATCTTATCATGATAGTCTCGTCGTGGAATGTGCTCCGAAAAGGCAACGCAGAAGGTTTTTCTGTTGTATGATTCTTTCTCTAGTGCCCAAATACCATTCCGTCCGTAAGAGTCATCCAAACCCACAGCGGCCACGTATGTCCAGTTAAAGAGTTCTATAATGTCTGCCATGACCTTTGCCTGCCAGATGTCAGGTGGAACTGTTCTGAAGAAGTGTTCGTGCAATTTTGAACTCAAGTCTACGCTTGTGGCAACTGAGCTGATGGCGGGAATGTCAACGACTTGAAGAAAGCTTCCAACCAGCACTGCGCTGGCGGAAGTGTCAGGACCAATAAGCACTGAGATCGGCTTGGATCCGTTTTGCATGGTATTGTCCGTTGGAGAATTATCTTGCATGAAGTCATAGGCTATTTTCACGGCCATGTTCGTGCTAAAACAGTAGTTTCGTATGTCATATCCGAGCGTCACGTTCGGAAGAAGAACGGGATTCTTGTTTATGCTTTCAATAGCGAATATTATAGCTTCTACATGCCCCAGTCCAGTTGTGAAAAGATTACCGCAGTGATCATCACCCTCTGGTAAGCGTATGCTAAGCAGACCTCCGACTATTACGTCGCCATCCCTGTAAGCTCTAAAATCGTGGTTGCAGGATGTTTGTGGAATAAATGGGGATATAAACAGAAATAGTCTTACGAGGCTGGAGAACACTATACTTCTCATCCAAGTCATCGTCTTTATATGCTGTGCAGTACCCTAAAGGAAAATCATATTGATAGACATTTGGACATGCTAACATGATTTCCCTAAAATATTTCCCACGCCCGCTGGAGATAGGCAGACACACAAAAAGAAGTGTAAAGTATCAAATTATTATCTTTGGGCCGTTTTGTCCTTTTCGCTCATGTTTAACAAACGGAAAAGGAAATATCAAAGGAATTTCGATGTAGCCTTAACAACATGATTAACATATACCCATGCTTAGTATTATTTTATTGTGAATAATATTTCGTGAATTGAAAGGAAGGGTTGTCCGACGGCGGTTTTCACCTTGCTGAGGATGATCGACGTTTACCCTTTACTGGAGGAAAAAGGTGGCATCAAACGTTTCAGTAACTGTGACTATGATAGTTTACTAGAGCGGGCCGATACACCCAGCCTGGCAAATACGAGAATTAGCAATATGATGATGTGTATTTTGAAATGCATTAACTTTATTAACTATCCAGAATACCTAAAGAGGTATTTCAGTTTAGCACGACTGACTATGGCTTAAGAGGTACGAATGTGTTAGTCTTGCCAAACCCTAAACACCTACATATAGCCTTAACTAAGTTAGAAATGCCGCATCGGGAAGGGGGGAGGGAAGGGTACTTCCTTATAAGAGGCTAATGGGGATGTGCCGCTGGATGGGGTCGCATTTTCAATAGAATTGCTAGAATGGGGTAGCACACTTTGGGATTTTTTGGCATAAGACAGTTCTTCATATTTACGGTTAGCAAACGTACCAGAATGTTTGTACTGTAGAAGAAAAGTAAAGTGTTCTTCATTCAATATAAAAAATGGGTCAATTCATAAAAATAGAAAGTGACTAAGTTGGGATTGCGAAAATTATATATTTTCTCCAAAAGTGACTAAGGTGGGGTCTAAAATTGGCCACAGAATAGACTATAGTGGGGTAGGGGCTCTGAGAGGCCAGCGGCACATGTACCTACCATGCAGCAAAAATTAACCCAAGTACCCTCCCCGGGATGCCGCAGCGTAATATTGGTACTAGCTTCCCGATTCTTTTAGGAGAACCATTAGTCTGAAGGAACTTAGACGTTTACTTGTTTCTCATAGTTTCATAAATTAGACGTTTACTATTACCAACGGTTTGTGTTTTCATGTAAATTAGATTTTTATGTGTGATGTTGTATGTGTAACTCAACGGAGATACTAGCCTTTAGGCTACTCTAAAATCTGAAGTTAAATAAAGTTATGAATGTTTGAAGTAGTAACTTTGACAATTTTGTTACTCAAACGATGTAAATGGTTTATCATTCGAAAAGCCTTAAAGTCAAAGCCGTAGAGGAAACATTAAAATTGAGTGAAAAAGTATTTGTGAACATTCTGACTCAAAATGGCACACGGAAGAAACAGTAATGTATTCACTTCTATCGTCATTTTCAAAACGACCAAAAAGAATCCTTTTGTAATCGGAGGTTAGAGAAAAAACTGAATTGTTGAGTTTAGAAAACCTTTCCATTCATATCCAGACAGGTCAATAAGCCAAAAAATATTGTTATATTCACAAGGTGTCTTCTGATTTTAAGACGGCAAATTTCTGAGCAGGAATTTAATTCAAAAGGGAACTAGTACTAGTAGTAACCTTACCGATACATGAATCACATTCAGTATGCTGGGAACGGTTCTTCGCTCTGTTAATCTTGCGCCAAATTAGTGACAAAACCTGTTCTTTTTTAGTTTCACTTATATATTTTTCGTATTCAACGCAAAATAATCAACTTGGGCGATGTCAAGAGAAGTAATAAAACGATTGTTGTTTTAAAATACCATCTGTTTTTGCGTGGGTCCATTTAAAATTTAAATAAACCATTAATTTTTTGGTAATCTTCTCATTGAGTGAAACCATTGGTAGTTTGACTGGAAATTTTGACTACTTTGACACTCGGTGATCGGATAAGTCCTTTACCATTTAAAGTGCTCCTACGACGAAAATGTTTTGCTTCATTTCCTACTTTTTAAAAGGTTCGAAGATATACAATTCGGGATAAATTAGAAACTTGCGTTCTCCGAGTGGACATCTTTGATTGAAAACTCGCAAAAACCGTCTGCCTTTTTCCGTGATACGCAACATAAAGCCAGTGAGATTTTAGTGACGTGGTCTTACCTTTTACCACATCATTTATTTTCTTGTTATGACGTAGCAGACTAGTCTTAAGACTAATGGTCGGTTCGTTGCGTCGTTTTCAGAGTGTGAAAAATGTTTTACTTAACGTATTTATTATCTGATTCATATGAATGTGATTCAGAACAATGTTTTATTGGCAGATTGCTCTGAGATGATAAAAAAGTCCCTCGCTATCTATCAAGAAGGCGCGCTCCTAACAAATGTAAGAACTATAGGTCCAGATGAGATTCACTCAGCAAGCCGAAGTAATTATATGTGAGCTTACGAACGAGAAATACCATATGTTGTGCAGCGGGACGGTTTTGTTAAACATATCGTATGCCTTGGAAACTACCAGCCGGGAGGCCAGCCTTTTGTTCACATTTTAATAATCATTGTCAAGCTCAGTGGCTCTCTTGGACTCATTTTATCAGATAATTTGGAGCAGTTCTCCCACAAGTATTGTGAACACTGCTTTTTATTCGCATGCACAGTGTATAAAGAAGGCTTTTGACTTATTGTGAGGGGAAAGAAAAGATTTTTGAAATTTTTCATTGAGTATTTTAAGCATATCAGCAGGTGCCCGGAAGTTAATGCGTCGAATACAGTAATAACTAAGTGCTTTAAGAACCGGCTAGCAGGAGTTTATCATTTTATTTTTTTAGAAAAATATAAAAACCTGTTTAACCAAGCCAGATCAGGCAAGTTTTTATGTGTGAGTTTTAGTTAGATTATTCACGAAAATTTTCACCAAAGAGTTTGACTTTGATATTGCGAGTTTATATTACAAGAAAATACTTCACTTTAGCTTAAATATTCCTTCTCATATGTTTCGGTCCCCTTCGATGTATTAATTTAAATTTATCCTGTGAAATATGTATACAGTTGAACCTCTCCACAATGGCCACCTTGGTGACACAAGAAAGCGGCGGTTGTAGAAAGGTGGCCATTGTAGAGAGGAGGCCGTTCGTGGAGGTTACTCCTAATACAGGTTACAGAATTCAGTAAATATAAACGAAATGTATAATGTCTCCGAATAGAAACTTAAAACTATATAAACTTACAACTATATATGATTTATTTCATATATCATTAACACTATATAAACGTCGTTTTAAAGACATCTAAACTTTTTAATTATCAGCTTTCAAATGAGATGGCAAATTACTAAAAGCTTGGATTACAGTATGAAATTGCAGCCTTTCTTTGCAGATTCTGTACGTACCTTAGGAAGTAAACCTTTACGGCTAGTGATGACTTGATAAAATGATTCCTAAACAAATCTGGAGCATTTTTATGGACATACTTAAACCTTCACGTAAACGCAAAGGTTGGATTATGTACACAGTCGAACCTCCACTAACGACCACCTCCCTACAACGGCCACTTTTTTGGCGGACAGTCCATACATTGACTCTTGATGTTTAAACGTCCCTACAACGGCCACTTTCTTCTGTCCCTAAGGTGGCCGTTTGGAGAGGTTTAACTGTAGTAGAACATGCCTTATGGGACACTCAGCTTTATTGGAATAACAGCTGATTGTGTGAGGCTATGTTCACACTACAGTCAAACTTCTTTAATAAGGACACCAAAGGGACAGAACCAAGTGTGTGCTTTACAGAACTGTCCGTATTATCGAGTTATTCGTAAGGATAGGTTAGACTGTACAGTCTAACCTCTCCTTACGGACATCTCTATTCTACGGACACCTCTCTATTACGGACGGTTCGTTTGGTCCTAGCAATGCCAAAAATCATAGATTCCTTACCGCTATAATACGGACACTTCAGTAAAGCCGACACTTGGTTAGTCCCTTTGGTGTCCGTATTATTTAAAATAGGTTTGACTGTATATCGGATAGCTTTTGCGCCGGTACACCCGAAACTTCACTAAGCTTAACAAAGTCAAATGATTAAGTTGCATAGCAGTTTTAAGTTTCAAATATTGCATATTCAGTTTTCTTAGGATGACAGAACAGATCGTTCTTATTTGACCAATCCAAAAAGGAATTTGAGCTCGTTATTTAGTTTGCATCCGAGGCAGCGTAATAGAGGACCGTATCATCCGCGTACATTAACTCATTGAAAGCTGTAAAGCAATTAGGTAGATCTGTGACAAACAATGAAAATACCAAAGGGCCCATAATAGAACCTTAATGACCTTTGGACACCATTTGTTGTGGAATGGACATATTACACCTCTTAGGAAAATAGCTGGTTGCAATCAGTAATATAAACAGTCGTCCGATGATGTGTTCACCTTCACAAATCCCAAACACCTTCAGCTTATCAGGACTATCTCTCTGCCCTCCATTTCTGCTTTTCGTCTCCTTCTTTCTCTCCTTCTTTCTGTCCTATCTTCTTCACCTTTATCTTGTTCCGCATTACCGTCATCGGTTTCTTTTTTAGTGGTCGCATGGTACCCCTCTGATCGTAGAGGTTCGTTTTCACGTTGCAGCTTATTCATTCTTCGCCTCATCGATATCAACTGATTATTGAGGCCTTCTTTATCACGCCGTTGGCTTTGTCTGTGTTCAGACAGACTTGAGATCTGCCTGCTAATCTCATGCAAATCGCCTTCTTTTTTGCTTTGCCAAGCAGACAAATGGAGTGCCAGACTTTGTTTGTCAAACTCGGCATCTTCAAGCTGTTGCTCAAGGCGGGTGATCTTGTTGCGCTGGTTGGTGACCTCTGCCATGATCAGAGCTTTGGATTCTTGAATTGATCTGTTCTCTGGACTAAGTTCGTCTACTCTCTGTTGAAGTAACTTAAGTTCTTGTTCTGTATCTTCCTTAGCTTTCTGACTGATATCATACCTCTCTTCCAGTTCAGAAAGTCTTCTCTGGTAACTAACAACTTAGTGGCGCAGAGTTGCGCTTCTGACGGTGTCAGTGTTGTAGTTGATGGTTAGCCTTTCAATGGTCTCGTTGGAATCTTGAGTTTGATGTTTCAGCTCGCCGATCACCTTGTAACAATTCAGCTTCTCAGCCTGCGATTCATTTTCTCGTTCATGGCTGCGTTTATAAGTTATGTTATCAAATGACCGGTAGTGGAACTCTATGTCACTATAAATGTTGCAAAGTAAATAAGCCATTCAGATTTGTGAGACGTAATATACGCCCCAAACACAAAACGCTAAACCTAAAATTTGTTACTATTGTTATGCCAAATTTGGAGTATCCTGCCGCGATGTGGGTTCCAAACCAGCAGGAATAATCGACACAATTGAAGAAGAACAGAAGCGTTAAACTGGCGATGATCTATGATAACCTTTACGAATATAGAAGAATTCGTGTCCAGGTAGTTTCTGTCAAGGTAGTTGATGTAGATAGGTGTAGTTGCTAAAGTTTTTTGGAGTTTTTGTGGTTACTGTAGTTGGTGTAGTTTGATGTCGTTGGTATAATTCCTGTAGTTGCAGTAGTTTGGTGTAGATTTGTTGTGAAAAAGGAGCCAGATTCCCCCCTCTGGGGCAGATCACGGTTTTTTAAAGAAATTTAAAATGACGGACGAAGATGATGTGTATTTCTATCCATGTAACAACAACAACATCTCATATTTATCTGCACCATCCTGCACTAACCTGAACCAACGTGCAGCATACTGAAGCAATTGGCTCCAAACTGCAGCATCCTGCACCTGTCTGCGGCATCCTGCACCAACCTTCACCAACCTGCATTAGCTTGCATCAACCTGCACCAGCTTGCACAATTTTGCACTAGTCTGCACAATCCTGTACCATCCTGTACGATTCTGCACTATCCTGCACCAATCTGCTCCATCCTGCACATACCTGTACCTACCCCACCATCTTGCGGTAGTCTGCATTAACGTGCACCATCCTGTCCCAACCTTGACCAATATGCACTAACTTGCACCTTCGTTCAACATCCTGCACCAACATGCACCAATCTGCACCATCCTGCACTAACTTTTACCATCCTTCACAGTCCTGCACCATTCTGCACCAATCTGCATCATCCTGCACCAACTTGTATCATTCTGTACCAGCTTGCACCATTCTGTGCCAGTCTGCACCATCCTGCACTATCTTGCACTAATCTGCACCATCCTGCACCAGACGGCTCCATCCTGCACCATACTGCACCAACTTTTACCAACCTTCACCACCCTGCACCATCCTACACTATCCTGAACCAGCCTGCAACATCATGCACCATCGTGCACCAATCTGCGCCATCCTGAACTAGCCTGCACAAAAATGCACCGACCTGCACCATCCTGCTTTAATCTGCACCATCTGGCACCATCCTTCACCAATCTCTACCAACCAACACTAACTTGCACCACCCTGAGCCCTAGTGCACCATCGTGCACCAGCTTTCACCATCCTGCACTTACTTGCACCTACCTGCACTTTCCTGCAGCAATCCGCACCAACCTGCAACAACGTTCACCAACCTGCATCAACTTTTACTAACTTACATCATCCTGAACTATCCTGATCCAATCTGCAACACCTTACTCCATCCTGTGTCATCCTGCGGCAACCTGCTCTATCCTGCACCATTCTGTACCATTCTACACCATGTTGCCCTAATCTACACCATCCTGCAGAATTATGGGATCAATATTGACTCCAGATGTAAAATATAAATCATGTTGGTGTTCCTGTTTTGAAAGTGCACTTATTTCCTGCCGGAAAAAACCTAAAATGAAGTGAAACCACAGTGAAATACGTTACTTTAGCTTACACATCATTCATACGGTCTTAAAGCCTGCGTCATCATGTCTTTCGTGCGGAATGTCACATTGGACTGACAAGGATTTATTCCCCTTTTCTTGACATAATTAACCGAACGTTTCTTTTTTTGGTGTGCAACGAACGCTTCCTTTTGTCATCCCAGGAAATGCATGTAACTGGATACTGGCTGAAAGGGCTCTCCTTATATATAAAGGGATGAGGTTGGATCAATATTAAGAACATGCAAAAACTAGGCCAGGTATGTGTAATGATGAATTGTAGCTGGTGTGCAACGGACGCTTCCTTTTGTTATCCAGGAAATGCATGTAACAAATAAACGCCAACAGAAAGTCAGCCGAAGACAGATGTATCAAAAGAAAACTATCCCAAGATGGAGCATTTCTGTCAATGAAACCTGAAAATCGGCGAATCATTGAACGGTTCTACCTAGGGGTCAAAAGTGTCATCCTTATTATATTTAAATAAGGAAATATCCGAAGGGCAAACATGCATAATTTTAGGAATATAAAAATTTATTTGGGGCATTTGGACAAATACTTAACTTTCTATTAAGGAAGAAAAAAAAATGCAATCTAAGCATGATTGGTGTTCCAGAATGGCTGAGGTCTGAGTTGGTGAAAGCTGTATGTGTAGGTCATGTTCCTTAATCCGTTCATTCATTTGTCTCCGAATTCGAGTACTCGGAATTTGTCGAACACGAGACTATGGAAAGGGTAGCAAAGACGCTGCTTTCGAACAGGCCAAGAGCTCAAAATGTCACATCATCTCAATTAAATTAGACTAGCTCGTTTCGATTGGCGGAATAATGCATTTGACTTAAATCGTGCTAACTCCGCGTTAGCGATAGATTTTTTAGAGGCCGCTTACAGTATAAAGCGTGTTAAACACACTAGATAAGATGAGATAAGATAGGAACCTTTATTTAAGTGTTAGAGTATTTAGCCCAAAGGGACTAATTGGGGACATTAACTATTAAAAGAAAATGCTAAAAATGAGTATTTACAATAACATATATACCCTCAATTAAATGCAATGGAAAGTAGACAACTACAATACTGTGATACTTAAACTGTTGTCTATTCACTTCAGAGTTTATAACAGTTTCTATTATTAGAAATATACCCCGAAAAGATCAGTTTTCTAATTTTGTTCCGAAAACTGACTAAGCTAGCTAGAAGCTTCTCGTAGGAGTCTTTGTTTAGTTTAGACCACAAGAAGGGACTTATATATCTGATCGAACCTTACTTGACTTTAAACATTAGTACTAAGATGTCTTGAAAACTGTTATACAACGTGGGACGGTTAGCCCTCTCTAAGATTTCTTCATACGTATCCGAGTGGGATCTATATATGGCTCGACTCAATGCCTGTTCTGGTATTCGTTCCACCTTCCTTTTGTATGACGACTTACAAAAATGCCATATTAGGTGGCAATATGTAAGGTGGGGCAAAATAAAAGCTTCATACAGCAACAGCTTAGCCTTAGATGGTATTAAATGTCTTAAACGAGATAGTCTTCCGACTTTTTGGCTAGTCTTATTATACAGCTCCCTTATATGCTTCTTTTAATCAAGGTCGTCGTCGATGTGGACTCCTAGTAGTTCAATGTCCTCTGATTTGTCAATGGGTAGGCCATCCAGGCTTAGCACTGCATCACTCGTATCTCCATCAATTTTTCTTGGGTTGATATTTAGGAATTGAAACTTCTCTGGCCGGCTTGGCTGATAAAAAGTTATTTGAATACCATTTCAGAGCTTGCTTGCTGCTTGTTTTCAGTTGCTGTCTAACTATTTCGTGATTTGTTCCCCATCACACGCAATTGATGGTCATCCGCGTACATGGTTATGTTTCCATTCTTGACATGCAACGGTAAATCATTCTGGAACATGTTCCAGAGTAAGGGCCCAAAGGATGATCCTTTCGGACTTCCACGTTTCATAGGTTTCCAAATGCTTGTAATTTCACCCATTTTTACCTAGTTTCGTCTGTTTTCGAAAATAGATCCCATCAAATCGAGAGATCCACTTCCAAACCCATAAGCCTCCAACTTCTTTATTTTCAGAGAGAGAGACTCAAACAGTCGAAGGCCTAATACTCATATCAGTAGATAGAACATAAACGGGTTGTGTTGAGTCGACAGCCTATTTCCAGTTCTCTATCAGTCCACGAAACGTCGTCTCACAGCTATGTGTTTTTCTGTACGCTGTCATTATCGAGTACAGGAAGACAAAACATACAAGGTAAAGAAGTCTAGTGTACTTAATGATTAAGGCAGGTACGGATTGAGAAGTTTAAAGTATTTTTCCATGTTAGTCACAAGAATGGCTGGTGGGCGAACTGCAATCCAGCGTTTTTAATTTTCGGTATTCAGTGCAGCGTGTGGTACTCCTTCATTAATTTGTCCCGGCAAAACTCTGGTTGCCGTTACATTACTAAAGGAGAAATTCATCACCTGCGACCTGACGCTTTCGATGGTGTTTTGCTGGGAATGGAAAAAGAGAATGTAGATTCTGGGACCGAACATGCATCCCAACATACCAAACGAAGTTACTAAAGTCGTAGTACAAGATACAATTGTCACGTACCAGCTCTCAAAAGCAAACAGCACAGGGTAATATGCCAGCGATGACAACAGTAGAATGTACATAGAGAATCCTATGTATTTTGTCTCGTTAAAGTTTTCGGGAATTCCTCTTGCTTTGAAAGCGTAATACGTACACAGGAAAGCCACAATGAGCGTGTAAGCACAGACTGCGATGAACAGTGCAAGGCCGACGTTGGTGTTAAATGGTTTGCACACAAGAAAGATGTACTCATCTACGCGGATGACCTTATTACGCCTCGGGGGGTCCAGAAAGATCCACAGAGCCAATAAACAAAGGAAACCTAAATTCATACCTGAGAGAAAGATACCCTGCCTTGTTAGGGTTTTGCAACACGTTGTAAACAACTGCGCCACTTTATCGACCTCAAAAACGCTTGCTATTCGCATAGTTTTTAAAAAGAGCACTGTGATACAAAGATTGAGACCAAAATAGCGCCAGAAAAATGTTGCGGTGCAAAGTGAATGACTGGGCTCAGAAAGTTCGAGGACGGCTAAAATAAAGAGAGCTGAGATACCAAATAGCAACAGAAAAGAAATCTCTCTGTTAGAGGCCTTCACGACTGGGGTGTTGAAAAACTTGATGTAGGTGCCTCCTATGAACAATATGAAAATAAAACCGATGGAAGCCACCACTGTTATGGTGATTCCATAGACATTTAAATGCGTGATGTTGATGACTGGTAGCTTTTCACACCTACTGCGCCCCTCGTTTGACTTTGTCTCTGGGTCACACTTAGTGCAGCTAATAGATCCGACTTTTCTACTGACAGTTCCCAGTGGACATTTGATACAATCCCAGCAACATGGCTCGGTTTTCTCCCTTCTGGTACCAGGTAAACATTCCGATGAACAGGAGGATAATGGGGTGAAGGGAGTTCTCCATCGTAGCCTGGACAAATCTACATTGAGCTTGGGCGTGGTGTTTTTGTTCCAATAACCAACCAGAATATTTTTGCGGGCTGCGTCTGTGGTTGAGTCAAGCTGATAGTTTATGATGTCGTATGAAGCTGATAAAGGATCTCCAAACTTGTCAAATCGCACCTTGTCAGTCAAACCGTCAAAACTGATATTTCTGAGATATTTCTCCAGATCACGTCCTTTGACAGTCGGCTTGACTGGAGGACACTTTCCTCTTTTATCAGCACCATGTATAGTAAGAGAACAGCGGTAAATGTTATCTAGGGCGTGTGCAATAGCATAAACAGCGTCAATGAGATACGATACGAAGGAGTTGCGTATCTTTTGTAGCGCATAGTGTACTGTCAGATTTGCTTCGCAAACTGCGAGCCCAGAATCATCGGAGTTTGTGGCTGAACAGTTAAAATGCAATCTCCAGAACTCTTCCCACCAGTGTGCGCCTCTTTCAATGCTTTTTGCAGGTGTGATCGTCTTAAGGTGCTCTTCAAATTCGAGAGCAGAATAGTCATGTGGAAGTATTCCTAAGGAGCCGTTTATCATAGTGAAGTGAGAATCGAGATATAATGCTCCCGTCGTGGCCAGTGCGTCGCTAAGTATCCAAGTCTTTTCTTCAAGATTTTGAGCAGTTGCTTCTTCAAAAAATGCTCTTCCGTAACCGCCAGAAAGCCAAAGAATGATCACTGTGATTTCAGACCTCCTTTTAATCTTGAGAACAGTTTCCTCTGTTTTATTCTTATAGCTTAGCCGTGGAATGTACTCAGAAAAAGCAATGCAAAATGTTTTCCGGTTGTACGATACCTTTTCCAGGGCCGAAATACCGTTATGTCCATAAGAATCATCTAACCCGACAGCCGCCACGTATGTCCAGTTAAAGAGCTCTATAATGTCTGCCATGACCTCTGCTTGCCAGTTGTCTGGTGGAACTGTTCTGAAAAAGTCTTTGTACATTTGTGAACTCAACTCATCGCTTGTTGCACTCGGGCTGATGGCGGGAATGTCAGACACCTGAAGAAGACTTCCTACTAGCACTGCGGTGCCGGAATTGATAGGGCCAACTAACGCTGAGATGGTCTTGGTTTTGGTTTCCTTGACATATCTTGTGGAGGAGGCGCTGATGTTTTGGTTAGGCATATGTACTGGATCGCCCTCACACATGAAGTCATAGGCTATTTTCATGGCTCGAGCATTGCTCTCACAGTAGTCTCTTAAATCGTAGCCGATAGTCACGTTCGGTAAAATAGTGGAATTCTTGTTAATTTTCTCAATAGCGAAGATCGTAGCCTCTGCGTATCCCAGCCCTGTGGTAGAAAACTCAGTACATTGATCATTAGTGCCAGAATAGTGGATGTTGAGTAGACCACCAACTATAACGTCGCCATCTTTATAAATTCTATATCCGTCGTTTGAGGATGTTAGTGGAAAAAGAAATAGCAGTATAGAGAGAGGCGGTCTTAAGATGCCTGAAAGTATTACGTTTTTCCTCCACTTCATCGGCCTTGTGTGGTTTGCACTAAAACAAATTAAAGGAAAATAGATTTAACCTTGCGAACAGTTTCAAGAAAAAGATGCGTTCAGAAAGAAGAACAGCTTTCTCAAGAACAGTCAAACATTTCAAAAGTAGGTTGAGTTTGATCGTTCGGGTGAACGTAGTCCCATGAATAGGACTGTTGTGACTGAAGTTTCGACAACCTGTGCGGTAGTCACCTTCAGAGTGAAAGACCAGACCTTAAACCCTTAAGCGAAATCTCCCAATGTTTATGCTTAGAAGTGGATATACCCAGACTGTGAATCGACATTATTTCACTCAACTACTAGAAATACAATTTCACCTGACTCTGAAGATGACTACCGCACAGGTTGGCGAAACGTCAGTCACTGTCAACAACAACAGTCCTATTCAGGACTACGTTCACCCGGACGATCAAACTCAACCTACTTTTGAAATGACTCCTGGGTTCAAACCTTTCACAGTCAAACATTTATTGCGCAAACTTGTTTGTGTAACTTGCTTAAAAGTTCCCAATATCGTTTCCCCAAATTACTGCAAATCTGGCGTATACTAAAAAACCGGCCTTCACATACTTTTAGCAGTCAAAGTAACCTTTTTAATCTTGTAAGTCGGGGTTACCCAAACGGTATCTTCGATTTATAGAGGTCTTTATAGTGTTGGCTGCCATCTGCAAATGAGTTATAGCTCTAGACATTCCTACATGTAAAAACTCATCAGTATTCTTAGACCTCACATCCCTGGACAGCAGAAATCATCCCAGATTATGTGAACCAAAAGAATTTTTAAGAGCAGCCGTCTAAATTACAGGGAACTCGGATATCGGCTGCAGTTACATAAGTGAGCAATGGAGGAAAACTATTTCTTTGGGCGCGTACAAATTAAAGCTTGTTATGACGTTGTCTGAACTCTTACGCCAGCTGGTTTTGCACAACAAGAGCACGGAAGCTATTCTAATGAATGGATTGTCTTTTATAATTTGTATGCTGTTCCAGTTGAGTTCCGGTGAAATTGTATTTCTAGTAGTTGAGTGAAATAATGTCGATACACAGTCTGGGTATATCCACGTCTAAGCCTAAACATTGGGAGATTTTCGCTTAAGGGTTTAAGGTCTGGCTTTTGTGAAATTGCTTTTAAAAAAAATCAGTTTTTAATAAAGCAGATGACCGACACCGACCCTGTGGAGTGTCAGTGAGATATCCTCTGGCGCGGTGAAAGCGTGGGAACAGAAAACGAAACGCTTTTTGACTACCGGGATATGTGATGGGAAAAAGTTGGGTGAACAAAATTAAAGGGAATAAGCGCACGTCTTATTCGCTGCTGAGCCAATGTAAGATGACTGAATACTAAGTATGACTTCATGTGACTGATGCTTACACCCAGAAGACCTATCAATCACTTTATTAAATTGTTTTAGCTTAAATGAAAGCGAATACGAGTCTGTAAACTCGGCGATTTTTGTCCGGTTCTGGTTCTGTTAATTCTTTGCCTCGGAAACCGAAATCATTGGGATGCAAGCACACGTGATAGTCTCCATAAGAATAGAAGGGAAAAGACGAAAAACTGGAAAAAGCCTTAATTCTCTATAAATTTCTCTTTAATATCGATTTATAGTCACAACATTTCATTTACAAAGTCATATGCAGGCGCTCTCAATATTAAACATTGTTGTATTAATTTTACGTCTTGGAGGTTTCGAAACCGTGTATTTTTTAAGCACTTTATTCAACTTACAAATCATTAGTTACCCAAACACTAGTAATATTTAACAAAAGGTTACTGTGAAAGGTTTGAACCCAGGAGTCAGTCACTGTCAACAACAACAGTCCTATTCAGGACTACGTTCACTCGGACAATCAAACTCAACCTACTTTTAAAACGTTACTGTTACAGAGATCATTTTGGTCTTCTTATAACAGAGAGAAAGAACAAAAATGGTAGCCTGAAACTCATCCGATTGCTTCGAGTCGTTTTCTCCTCTCAACAACGTCTGAATCGACCGGCAGTTAATGCCGACCAGTGACGTCACTCACTACCCAAAAACCGGGTAGTGATTTTGATTGGTTGACTGTCTAAACATTCGCATAATTATGTATAATTATGAAAAAAATTTAGCGGGATTGTCGCTTGATAGTCAGCGGATCGCATCCCTGGCATTCTTTCGATTAGTTCAAACATTTCCATAAGCTTAATCTTTATCTTGAAAAGCAAAATTGCCCTTGTCTTCGAAACTGAAATGCTAAATTGAACCTCGAATGACGAATCATTGCGGAGAGTTAGTAGGTTTTTCATTTAGAGCCGCTTTGTGGTTTCGGCGGCCGGTGATTTTGTTTACGCGAAGTTTTCTGAGATCAATGTTATAATTCGACCTTCTTGCTTTTTTTTACCGTCTTTTTTTACCGTCTTCGTTAAGGACCAAATTGCTTCTTTAAAATTAAAGCAAATCATTGCGTTTTTGAACTAAGTGTTCCATGTACGTGTTTAATCGTTTAATTCATTGCGTGAAGAGTAAAGAGCCTGAGTAACTTAACTTTCTGAATAAACTACGTCCTATCAACCGTCGCATTTTACGTACCCATATTTGTGCTAGCACCTTAAATGAGTGAAAATCGTCACGCGACGTTAATGCTAACTAATTTTCGCTTTTCAAGGTAGTATCCATTGCTAACTATATTTCGTCCTACTCATTCCCTTTTTCCATGACGAAACTAGTATTTGGCGAATTCAAATCAGACAAGATACCCCTGACAACAAAAATCTTGATCAGGTCAGCGCAAAATGTTTGTTAAGTTTCAAAAGGATTAGAGAGGCCTGATGTTTTTGATCGAAATAAAAACATCCAACGCTCAAATTATTTGTCGGCAGTTCACTGATGATTAATAGTCCTTGTCTACTGTTGATTAATTTCTGGTTGTTCGTTTATGATAAAAGACAAATTTAATAACTTTTGTACATTAAAACATTTGTTAGTTGCATCCTGCACCTGGCAGAGTAGTTGCTACTGAAATTAAAACTCTGGTTCCTAAGGAAAATACAATAAAGGAAATAAGCATTTATTTCTGGCACAGCTAAACTTTATATCCAAACTAGCTGGCCAAACTAGCTTTGAGTAAAAGATGAATCTTGGTAACAACTGTATTTCATTTTGTTGCGGCAATCGATGATCACGAAAGATTAAAAATGTAAAACAAATTCATTTCTAGATCTAGCATAAGTTTTTACGCTTAAATTCAACTGTCAACGTTTCGACCAATCCAAAACTAGATTGGCTCTGGAGTGTGAGTAAATACGTGACCAAGCTCAACGCAAAGCCTTTATGTATTTTGGAAAGGACACGTGATAACCTCCATAAGAATAGAAGAAAAAAAAGCACGGGAGCCTAATTTCTGTGTAAATTTTTTTTAAATATTAATCTTTATTTAAAACTGAATCATTGGATAATGCAACTCTAGAGCTCTGCTCTGATTAACTTAGCTAGCCAAATATGGTAACTGTACGCGTCTGCTCAAAATTAAAAACAGCTGAAAGTCGGTTGCTTTTAAAAATAAAGGCGGGAAGAATTATTGACTTTTGATAAAAACAATTATTCCACTTACGCTTGTTGGATATCAGATGATTATAGCCAACTCGACACTACGCACCTCGTTGGCCAGCTTCTACCATCTCATGATCCAACGCGCACTCGTGGAATAATTGTTAAATAGCCACTTGTCTTGAAAATACTCTATTTTTATGTGATATCCAGGCACAGTCAACGTTCAATATATAGAGGATATTACATGGGTAAGCGGAGATGCCAAATTTCTCTACGAGAAGAGAAACTTCGTATCTCCAAGTGACCATGTAATGTTGTATTTATTATATAAACACCAATGAAATGCCAAACCATTTTACCTCAACAGTTTTTTGTTGCGAAATCGACCGAAAGGTGCGGTTTGTTATGAAGCCATAGCAATGGTGATATTTTCACATGTGAAGATAACATGTTATTTTCACATCTGAAGATATCAAATTTTCGCGCGAAAGCTCACTTGATATTTCATTGGTGTTTATATAATAAAACTGTATCTACATCTTGAAGGTTTCGGAACAGCAATTATCACTACTGCATGTATTCATATTGAAAAATGGGGAATAAATAAAAACCTACGGCTAGGCGGAGGCTCGCAAATGTTGATCCTTCGATTTCCTTCAACTTTTGTTTTAAAAGTTGTAAGTTAATATTGCTACCCTTAAATAAAGGGAAAAAACGGCTGGACAATAGCGAAAAAAAATGTGATGAGAAGGCAGCAGGCCGGCAAGAGATGCTTTTTCAAATCTATATTAAGGATAGATTTCCTCAACCATGATACTGAAAATGGTCAATGTTCATGCCAGTAAATTCCGCTTTTCAAGGTGGTATCCATTTTTATATACATGTATGGTGTCACTTAGGTAAAATTTGTTATTGCCTCCGCAGTGATTTCGTCCAGAAGGCCCAAACAAGCAAGAAAAGTGAATGATTCAACGGCTAGCTTATCACTAGCAGAACGGTGGACGATTACAGAAATTCGCCGACCATCAAATTCTTTGCTGGATTATTCCCTGCTCACAGATGTCCTTCCGCTATAAAGTTTAAAAAAGACTAGAATGCGCGAGCGTGAATAATCAAACGTCCTTTTAATTTCTA